GCCCCCCCCCTCCCCCCCGCAGCCCTTTCTTTCCCCCTCCCGGCAGACCTGTATCCAACATTCAGCTTCGTAAAGTTGAAACCCATGTTGGAACTTGGAAACCCAGGTGTCAGTTTTACAAGTGTCGTAACTGCTGTTCGTTGTAACTTGAAGCGTCATAAGCCGAGGACTGCCTGTAGTAGCTAAAACCGCCAGCCCATCATTGCAGGCATTGTAAAACACACAAAAGAATGATGGTACTGTCCCAAAGAGCTTCCATGAATGTACTTCAGGGAGGAAGAAACTATTATATGTAGTTGTAAAATATGTATTAATGCACTAGAGCTTTAGAAAACTATCTTGAAAAATTGTGTAGTACTCTAATTACAGTCGTTGGAATGAATCTTAGATTGTGAAAAGCAAGGCTTTTGTGTTTTCTGTGGTTACTTTTGTAGAGCAAATGATCTACTAATCTACCTATTGTCTCTCCTTTCTTTTTTAATGAAGATCCATTGGAGCAATAACATAGATGTGCAGTTAGATTTGAATTGGCAAAAGGTTAAGGAAAGAGATGGGAATGAAAATTTCAGAAATTTTGAAGCTATAACATTAAATATTCTCTCTTAAATTATTCATAGAATCACAGAGAAGTTTATATTTGCCTTCATTAAATCAATCTTCCAAAGTCAGATCCAGAAAATCATAGGTTTACTCATTCAGGTATATGATCTGCTTGTCTTTCTTACAGAGATACTTCAATCTGTCCAAAAACCAAAAGGGTTATCTTGAACGAGTAGAATTTTGTGGGGTTGATGTGAAAAGAATACCGTTTTTTGTCAGAATGACTGAAACTTTTCATAAAGTTTAGTAGGGACCGGGACCACCAAGTGGTTCTACGTACTATAATGATTGGAGAGTTCTTAGAGGTTGATTGATAATAGAAGACTCTTGATAACTAGGTTGCAGCCATAAGTGTCTGGTTTGTGTGTATGTTCAGGATGATATTTCTCACTTGGCAATTTAACCTTCATGTCTCTTTCAATTTGGAAAATACCCTTGTAATTTTATTATAATAAAAGAAGTTTAGGATTATTTAAAACAAACAACCAAAAAAACCACATTTAAAGCCCTGAACTCTATACTGCCTCTGGGGTCTTATAGCATTGTTGCTAATCTATTGTAATGGTTTAGAAGTGCTACCTGATGTTTAGATAATCCTGTGGACTGGGCTGCTGTGTTGACACCTGTTTACCCCACTGCAAGGTAGATTTCTGTCTGGTTAGGGTAGCCCACTGAAGAGCTGCCTCAGTAGTGAATTTTTGCTAAGGCCTCTCTCCCTTTTTTTGTTCGTTGTCAACAGTTCTTTCAGAAGTTCAAAATAAACATTTGACTCTCTTCTCCTTTTCTTCCAGGATCACCTGATAGTCCTTCCCCGTGAATAGCTTTCCACATGCAGGCACTCCTCTTTCTTTGCACCTCCAAAAGCAACACTGAGAGTTTTCTTGCTTACTCCTTACTCCAAATGGAAGTTTAACTTGCTGTTGTCTTGCAGGTAGTTGGTGGCAAGGTAAAAAAACCAGGCAAGCGAGGTCGTAAACCAGCCAAAATAGACTTGAAGGCAAAACTCGAGAGAAGTCGTCAGAGCGCAAGAGAGTGCAGAGCACGAAAGAAGCTGAGGTACCAATATCTGGAAGAACTGGTGTCAAGCAGGGAGAGAGCCATCTGTGCTCTCAGAGAAGAGTTGGAAATGGTAAGGCTGTTTCCTTCTTAACTTCTAGACTGGATCCTGCTAGCACTGAAGTTATGAATGTTTGCCATAGAGATCGTGGTTAGGCTATAACTTGTCCAAATAGTAAGAGCAAATGTATTCATTGCTTGCCTGCTTTGCATCTTGATAGTGATTCTTGTAGCATGAGGGATTTAAAGGATTAGTAATATTTGTTGTCTTTGAACTAAAAAATAAGTAAGCAAGGTGGTTTATTTGTGCATAGAACTGGCATCTTAGAACATATAAGAGCTGCCACTTACTGTTGAGACCATAGATCTATCTTGCCCACTATCCTGTGTCACACAGTGGCAGAGTGGATGCTGAAAGGGAGAGTGAACAGGGTATGACAAGGCTCTTTTTTCCACTCTTTCTCTCACTTGCAGCCTCCAGCATTTATCGACTAGGAAGTTCCGATTCAGAGGCTGTACCACTTGACATTTCATTTCTTATGTTTTGGAAATAGCCTGATGTAAAGGTTAGGGGAGGCAGGGAAATATTAAAATAGAGATCTGTTGCTTGCAGATGTATTTGGCCAGCCTTTGGTTTGGTGCATATTCTGCCCCCTCCTCCCCCCACCATGCACAAAACCTTATTTACAAGGCCATGTTGCTTGGTGCTCACTTGCCTGCTTTTCAGTATGCATGAACTAGGTGCCTGTACATTTTTGCAGGCACAATGGGCCGTGTTGGTGCAAGTGCAGAGGCGAACAGGTTTGAAATATAGACACCTAAGCCACGAGAACTCCCATGGAGCTCAGTATATAAATTGCTTTTGAGGAACTGGCACTTGGGTTATATGTACTGATTGTATTGATATTAAAGGGTATTGTTATGGATATGTTATGATGTGACTTACATCTGCATGATTCAAGTGTAGCAAAACTGTTCCAGCTTTAATCTTACTTCATTCAGGATGTTTTAGTTAACTTGTATTGCTACAGGGTAGCACAAATGTAAAAGTTGAGGGTAAGGACTTCTGGCCTGTTCCCCAAACATCCTGTGTTCTGTGGTTTGCCAATGAAGAATGAAGATGTGGAGGCTCAAAGGGGCTTGCAGAGCATCAGAAAGTGTTAATGTGAAGGTTTCACCAGCACAAGGATTATGAGACTTGTTTTTGATAGCATGTGAGCTGGAGCAGTATACTGGCATGGCAGTAGCCAAAAAGCACAGAAGAGTTCTACATTGTTTAATGCTTATTGTCTTGTATGTAGCTGTGCCCCCAAGCAGCAGTTTATTAACAGAAACAGGATTTACGCAGGTCAGGTATGCAGCTCTGGACATGTGCTTAGCTCATTAGTTCTCAACAATTGTAGAAAAAGTTTCACCTCAGTAGGTGCAAACTACTGTTGTGATCCTGGCAGTTTGCTAGTGCTTGATGTGTTTTCATATTTCAGTACAAGCAGTGGTGCATGGCAATGGACCAAGGGAAAATCCCCTCTGAAATAAAAGCCCTACTAACTGGAGAGGAGCAAAGCAAAGTGCAGCAAAACTCTACCAAACTTTCCAAGGTTGTGAAAACAGAAGCAAACAGCAACAACCCCTGTAAGTATCATGCCTATGATCATCCCTGTTGTATGTCTTTTCTTGTGTAGGAATGCATATTGTTATAATATTTGCCTGAACATGTAACGCATGCAGTTACATTGGCTAGAAAGTCAGGCAGTTAGTTTTCAAGAAATGATCCTCCCTTCTCAGAGCATAAAATTTTTCCTGATGGGCACAGGAGATTTTTATATATTATTATTATTATTATTATTATTATTATTATTATTATTATTATCTCTCTAATGGGATAGTGAATGTTTGGCCAGAGTGCACCTGTGTTTGCTTTTCTCTGAATCTGTAGACAGAAGTAGGAGGAGAAAGCGGTCCTATATCCATACTAGATCAGGGATATTTTGCTTAACTTTAAAGGCTGGTGCCAGTCCCTATTTTTCTGATGATTGCTTCTGTTGTCACGGACATTGGTTCTCTGCATACTAGTAAAGTACCTCTTTCAGCCCCACTTTTTACTTTGTACTCTGCTTAACTGCATACTAATTGGTGCTAGCAGTGGTGAAGAGAATTTGCTGTCAAAAGGCTGCTATTAGAAACCTTGAAGTTAATTGCAGCTAGTCAGTTTCATGATAGTATTTCCCCTTATTTTTTAGAGTTGCTAACAGCAGACTTAAGCCTAACTCCAGTCAGTTTCCCCTCATTTTCCAGGCTTTTAACTAGCTATTTAAATACTCTGACAGTGATGGGAGGTAGTTAGTTTAGGATCTGCTAATACTGTAGAACTGACAGTGCTGTGTACTTAGTGAGCATTAAGCCCAGATAAGTGCATACATCTGGTAAGTTCATGGCCTTTTTTTAGTCCTAAGGCCATGAACTTAAACAGAATACACGTTAGTGTGCACTGAATTTTCAAATTTTATATTACAGCTACATGAAAAGAATTATTGTGTAGATTGCAAAGTCAGACGTGTTCAAAAGTTAGGAAGTGTGAAGCCTATAGTTGCCTGTGCATCATTAGTTCTGCCTTTTTGCATGTGCACCCTGTACAATGAATGAGATGAGGGGTCATTATGGAAAAAAATTGACCATGTAACATAGAGACAAAATATGTAATGCATTGCATGCAACGAAGCAGAACTAAAGTTATATTGGCATCTGCATATGTCTCATTTCTGACTTCACTTTGAAATCTAAATAACTCTCGTTAACATAGTCCTTAAGTAAAATTTTTTTCTTGTGAAAGTAACTAGGGAAAAACACACTTTTGTTGCAGCCATCCTCCATGCTTTAATTCCTTGGGGTTTGAGTGCTGAACTTTAGCAGTACAACAATTTCTTGAGCTGACCACATTTAACTAATTTAATTCTTAACAGTCCTTTTTTTAGTTATTTACCTGGCACTTCACTTAGCCCTAGGCAGAAAAATGAAACAGAGGAGGAAGCCCATTTAGAAAGTTAAGCCTCATGTAGGCAAGAAAAGGACAGGGTGTATATTTCTAAATCCCTTTAGCCGAGAACTGCGGTTCATGCCTTGTTCTGCTTGGAGGAGGATGAAAGGGCCAAGCCCTAAGTGTAGGTCTGTTGTTCCATACTGAGTGTCTGTCTGGCCTCAGTGCTCTTTGTGGAAAAAATTGTCTGTGAAACATCAAGAATTTTTTTTCTTAAATATGATTAATTTCTTATATTGCAGGAGTAGGACAGTAGACATAGCAAAGCCAAAACTAATATATGATCTATCATTATAACTTGCATGTGTACAGTGCCTTTAGTTTGACAGTCCCACAGTATTTCCTAATATTAATCTGTATTGAATGCTTAAACGTGCTTAAAATAAGACAGACACTTAACTGGTGCTGAATCAGAGCTCTGGCAAATATGCAGAGGAGTTAGCTAATTCATTACACAAATCTTTAACTGCAGCTAGATGTGTGACAAATGGACAAGATGCTGGTTTTGCTTCTCATGTATAGCTCCTGTGCTCTTTCTCATGCCTCCCCCCTTTTCCTTTTTTTTACTGTTTTTATTTGAATCAAAGATGAGGTTTTTCCCCCACTTAAAATGAGTAGGGGGGGAGACCCCCTTGTCTTGGATTAGAGTAGAAGTTGCGGGGGGGAAGAGTGGCAGTAGCTGCTGCAGCTCTGACTTCAGGCTCAGAGCCTCAGCTGCTCCCCTCCCCTTCAGCTCTGTGTTGCCCACTGCTTCCACTTTCCCTCCAGCTCCAGTCTCAGTTCCAGCCCCACTCTGGCCTGGGGCATGGAGCACATGTTGGCTTTAGCCCCTGTCCAGCCATGCAGCAGAGGTGGTAGTGGCAGCAAGTCTGGCCTTGGCTCAAGTTTTGGGGCTGGGGCCAGAACTTCGCTTCTGCAGCCCCCACCCAGTGTTTTCTGTGCCTGTGGCCAGAGTGTGTGGTCTCCAGGTCCTAGGGGGAGCAGGCATCAGAGGGCAAATAGTGTGTGTGGGGGGGTAGGGGTCAGGCCACTGTCATGCCCTGCTGCCTGCCTGCCTACAGTTGCTTGCCCCACAGCAGCAGTTGTGGGGAATGAATTTAAGAGAGATCCCCCAAAATTAGATTTTGTACATGGAAAATTATAACTAATTTGCAGTTTTTTCTATGTATAAAATCTAATTATTGGCGGGGGTTGTCTTAATTTCAGAGTTGTCTTGGATTCAGGCAAATATGGTAGTTAATTTTGTGATAACTTGTTTGAAGGTTTCTTTGTATAAGTTGGCTTTGTGGACACATGCAAGAGCTAGAATGCCCATCTCTACTTTACCCACCAGGGTAAATGGAGATTTCCTCATATGCTGGTAATCATCTCATTCATCAGAGGTTTGTTTTTTTTTTGTTTTGTTTTGTTTTTGTTTTGTTTTGTTTTTTTTTAAACTGGGATTTGCTATTCTGGGAGCCTGTCTAGCATGTCAGTTTTTTACATGGTTAGTAGCATCTGTCTTCCGTTACAAAGGTTATTGTTGTGTTTGACATGGATGGGACAACATGATTATAGAATCCTTCATAAGAAGTACGTTACAGCCTAAGTCGCAATGTTTTTGTGTAACACGGTGTCCTTGCATATCCTGCTAACCAAAATGACGTGTTAGAAAAGTTGTTGGATGGCTCCCACAACTATATATCAACATGGCTTGACAGGATGTAAGCACGGGCCCTAAAGGCAGTCAATATTTGCGTCATCCCCGATTGCCCTCCAGTTCAGTTATCAGGTTTTGTGTTCAGTGGAGGGATCCCTGAATGAGATCTTGTGGCTTTTGTTTTGCCACTAGCTCATCAGTGACCCTCTGGCCTTGAGTCTCTGTGGCCCTGCATTTTGAGAACTCCAAAGTTCACCAGCTCCGCTTGGGAATTGCAAGAGTTTGAAAATGTTTTTGAATATCATGTTTATGTAATATGTACCAGGGGATCTTGCCTGTATACAAAATCTTGTAAAGACTGAATCTGGTCCCCTGACCAGGGATCCAGTCCAAACCCCAAGTAACCCTGAGTCTTCTCGATAATTCCCCTAAGAGAGATGGGAATGTAGCCCTTCCCCCTCCTTTCTGTCACGGTAGTTCAGGGGTCAGCAACATTTTTGGTCAGTGCTCCAAAAACACCCACAAGCTCAACTTGTAAGATGTTGGCATGCCAGGGCATCATGGGAGCTGTGAGGGACCCAATCCTTGTTGTGGCAGCACAGCCCTGCCTCCTGGTCCTTTCCCTGCTGTCCTTGAGGAACGCATGCCAAACAAAAGGCCTTTGTGTGCTTTGCTCTGGCACCTGTGCCAGAGGCTGCCTGCCCCTGCAGTAGTTGTAGCCAAGAAGGAAGCTGGCTGCTTCTTGAAGACTTTGCAGAGGGGACCAGCAGGCCACTGAGCATCCTGTGTCCCCACCTATCTTGAATATCTAAAAGTTACTTAGCACTCTGCGCTTGTTGGGTGGAAAGGGAGTTCTTCAGGACCTTCCAGAATCTTCTTGTGTACATTCTAGTGCATTTTAGGCTCTTCGCACCATTGTTCCACTGGCACATGAAGGTGCAGTAAGCACCTGGTTCAGTAGTATTACACCAGTTCTGTATCAGCCATCTTCATTGATCTAAATCAGGCTTGTCCAACATATGGCCCTCAGGCTACCATGTGGCCTGCCAAGCCATTTTCTGAGGCCCAAGGTCCCTTGCCCAGGACAGGCGGGTGGGGGAGGGGAGGGGAGGGGAGCTGCTCACCCCTGTGGGGCCAGGCTTGTCATGTGAGCCGGGTCCCGCCATCCTGAGGGCTGTGTGGCACGGGGCTGCCCCAGTTGCGCCTGACAGGACTAGCTGGGGACAGCGCCTGCTTTTACTTCTTTCCAGCTCAGCCCCTTGCCCCCGGCATGCTGCCCGCCTCCCGGGACCTGCCACGCTCAGTGGCTGCAGGGCGGGAATGGGAACGGGGCACCTGGCACAGGCAGTCAGCAGTGCAGCTCTGGAGGGGCCTCAGCAGGTCAGGTCCTGGCGTGACCTCTGTGGGGTGAGGCGGCTCGCAGCGCTGAGGCCATCAGGGCTGTGTGCGTGGGCGGCCGGGCACCACAGTGAGCGGGGCCGTGCGGGCGGGTGGGTGAGGGGCTACAGTGCAGCGGCTTCCTTGCTCCGGCCCCCTCGGGCAGTGCTGGCTCACGGGGCTGCGCTGCGTGCGGGATGGGGATGTGGAGCTATTTATTTCTCCCCTTCAGTCTCTGGGGCAGTAGCTGCCTGGATGCAGACTGGGTCCTTCCTGCCCCTGCCCACCAGCAGCTACCATGAACCTTGCAGTAACAGGCAGGTGCAGTAGGGCTGCACAGGCAGGGTCTCTCTGGCCCAGGACAGAAGGTGTTTTGAATATGGCTCACTGGCCCGCTGGGTGATTAAAAAGTTCATGATCCGGCCCCACATTCAAAAGGTTGGACACCCCTGGTCTAAATGGAATTATTGATGGGTGTGATGGGAGTGAAGCTGTGATAACTCATGCCTAAGGAATTCTGAAGTAATGGAAACTTGAGAGGAAAATACCTCCTCTTCCCCTTTATTTGATGTGTGGAATCCTGAAAAATGAACTGCATGGGTTTTATGGAACTGTCATTTAATCAAGAATGTTTTGCCTAATGTTGGTTTACTTTCTTTCTCTCATTCATATATAACTAGTTGTGATTTTTGCATTCAAAATTTGATAATACTAAGTGTTGACCAAGTTGCATAGAACCCATTAAGTGTTTCTCAGAAGCTTCTTATAACCTACAAAGAAGTTTGAAAAATGTATTAGATACTCTTCAAAGGGTGCTTTTTTTAATCTGTTACCATGATCTCATCTGACTTGTTTGAGAGGGTGCTTGTGGTTATGATCGATTGTTCTCTTTCAGGGTGAAAGTTGATCAGCTGATACAGAAGTCAGTGGTGAGTCCAGCCCTGCTCTGCATCTCGTGAAGGAATGATGAAGATCTTGCTTTGCTGGTTCTATTTGCCACCTTCCACCAAATTGAAATCTGCATAACTTTTTTTTGGTCACAAATTCAACTTGAATATGAAACTCCTAGCGTACAGATTTTGAATATTGAAGCATATTTAGTATGTACCTGTAATATCTCCTATAGGTAGACAGAAGCAACATCTCAGCTTTTAAATGTCTCTGCTGTTAATACTGCAATGTAGACTGTTTTTGTGATTTGAATTTATTTTTATTATTACTCATGAAAGCCTCCAAGCTTTTAATCTTCAGTAAGATCTGAAGCCTCATGCACCTAATCACTCGACCAAGATGAAGCTGATTTTTTTTGTCTGTGGTATGTTGTGTATGCATGGCGCATGCTGTAACATCTCCTCTGAGAAGATGTTGTCACTATGTACAGATATTGTCATTATATTTGTTCTGTCTTTCCTTCTTTAAACTGTGATGAGACAATTAAGATTCTTATCATTTTACTAATGATTTGCATGAATATCTGCTTAAAAGTAAAATAAAAAAACCCACAAACCCACCTGGTTTTTAGTTACTCTTGTGTACTCTAAGCAGGTTGAAGCTGCTTGAACTTTTATACTGGGTCTGATTCCCTAGCAATGGAGACCTGAGTAAATAAACCAGCTTCTGTTTTATCTTCTTTTGGCTAGGGACAGAAGTTACACACAAACTGGTTTAAGTGATCAAAAACTGGTTTAAATGTGTAACAGGACAGAAGCTCTGTGCATCTAAACCAGCTTCAAAATGGCTGAAACTGGTTTAAGATAAACCTGGTTGAATGTAGTGTTGGACTTAAACTGGTTGGACTCAAATCAGTTATGAAACTTCTGTCCCAGACCCCTTTGTGGTTCAAGTTAAATCACAGTCCCCCAGCATCACAGCATGCTTTCCAGCCCTCGGGTGGGCTGTTCTGTGCTGTCTGCTGCAGAGACAGGGCTGGACCCTGGGGCAGTGAAGGCTGGCTGATGAGCAGGGGTGGGGGGCAGACCCAGCCGAGGATGCAGCCCAGTCTACTGGGGGAACAGGGAGTGCCCCCTGGCAAACCATGGCTGGGGTCCAGGGCCAGGGAGGGGGTGTTAAACATCCTGTCCACTGCTTAAACTTGTTGCTGGCTGCAGCTGTGGACTACAAAGGCCAGAGGCACCTGGAAGCAGGAAGAGGAAGTGATAAGCAACCCTGCAGAGTCCTGCTGCTGTAATTGTGTGCTGCAAATCCCAGAGACCTTAGGGGCACCAGGAAGAGGAAGTGAACACAAAGTCAGAGAGCCATGTTCTAGTACCCCCCCTACCACCACCACCACCCCCACAATTACTACACCCCACAACAGAGCAATCAGCATTCTCAGATCTTATAGCTGCACCTCCAGAAATGTAATATCTCATCCAATGCACCAAATGCCCTGATGGAAAATACATAGGAGAGACCAGACAACAACTG